ATTTTTAAAATTTTAAGTGAAATCTTTTGATCTTTAGAACTAATGAATTAGCATAAAATTACAGAAAAAATCGAAAATACATACATATATATAAAAATTAAATAATGGGCAAAAACTAATAAATAATAAAAATATAATACAGAGCGTTTGAAAGTGTTTGACACTTCGGTAGGTTATGGAAATCCAAATTTAAGGTGGCAACATTTGTACTTTGAAAGTTTTAAAATGTTCATTTTTGTACGATTGCACCTACTGGTTGGCATTTTTACAATTGGTGACATTTTTCGTTTTTAAATGGTTTTTGTGCTTAAACTCTTCTATTTCCTGTCTGTTTCATGTTTCTTACACATTTCTCTTGGACAAATGGGTTATGTTATTTTTCTAAACAGAATTTACTAAAATGTAATTTTTGTAACGTATCGTGATCTAAAGAATGTTCACATTAGTAACTTTTTTGGAACTAAAATTGAAGTCTGGTTTACAGTCTCAACGGCTAACGAGATGTCAATCATATTGAAACGCTCTATAGAATATAATATTAATAAGAAATTATTGCATTTGGCAGCTATGTTTTAACCTGAAATAAGAATAAAACTACTTACTAATCAAATTTCTTCAGTACGCACAGATGTATCTGCATTTCTTAAAAATAATTTGGAACACTAAAACTTTAATTATTTGTATTAACACAACTTTAAACATTTGTTGTGTCCCATTTAAAATTTAAATTATTATTTGTTTTCTGTGTTAATAAATAAAATATTACATTTTTCAACATCCAGTAAAAATCAAATAAGAAGAGAAGATTCTTGTAAACTTTTTCAATTTGTTTGACTTCCTACTCATCTCAATTGAATAAAAAACTTACGATTATTACGATTGTAACACTCATCCATGTAAAATGTAGAATTTCTCGCATTGAATGCTGCAGTGTAGAAACAAAGAATCAATAATGGCACTACTCCAAGAATATGTCTGAATTTTCGGTTTATGAACGAAACTGTAGCGATTATTCTTGAAGAATTTAATAAGAATTCTGTTAATACACTTGAGAATTTCTCAATTAAGTGTCAAAGGGGACAGATCGTTCCGAATCAATTAGATTCCAAAGCTAATTAGTGCTTGAGAACCATTTACTCGTATCTGCTTGAGCGAACAAGACCGGTGGCCAATAGGTTCTATTCTTAGATCAACATGCAACTAATTGAAATTGATTTGAATGAAATTTATCTGGTTTTTCTCGATTACAAATTTGGGGACGAATTGCACCATTGTTTACCTCCAGAATTGCCAATATTTGGATTGGAATTTGTATTTGTCAATATTTTGAGTTGGAACCGTTCCAAGTCTGCCTTTTTAGTGTTTGGCGACATTACACTCTTAATAACTGCAGTATTTTGACAAATATCCATGTTTTATTTCACATTCGATGATTTTTAAACTCTCAAAAAGCAATAAAAAACAAAACTCGAGTGAAAAAAATTTATTAGAAAAGAAAATAAATTAAAGCAGACTTAAAACATCTCAGTGGTGGACAACAACAGCGGGGGCGGCGTGCACGACGGCGGCGGTCTTAACTACGGGCACGGTTTTAACGACGGGCACCACGGGGGCGTGGTGGACGGCGACCACGGGGGCTGCCTTGACTACAGGCACCACGGGGGCGGCGTGGACGGCGACCACGGGGGCTGGATGGGCCTGCACAGTGCTGTGATGGGACACACTGTGGGCTACCACCGGGGCGGCGACGAGCCCGGGGGCGGCGGAGGCGTAAGCGAAGAGAGCAGCAAGAGCCAACTGAGAAAATTGTAGAGACAAAAGACCGATTTTTTACCAACTTACCAATTTGAACATTTTGTCGTGATTTGAATGACTGCTCGGATGGGTGCTGGGCTTTTATACCAGATGAGACCATAACGAACCCATCTGGTTTGCCTCAACCTTGGCGGAATCAATGTTAAGTACAATTGGGTTGTGGGATTGTCTTAAGGTGAAGCGATAAATCGTGGGGGAATCACTGACCCATTTTCGAGAGGAATTTAATGAACTAATTAACATTCTGGGGATGGACGGACAATTTGGGTCGTTTAGGGGCAAATTTCAATCTAGCAAGCGGCGATTTTCTAGTGGAAAAGTGTGAAATAGAGACGGGACAATTTTATATTTCTTTCCAGTGAGAATTAACCCTTGTTTTACATCACCGTTTAGAGTCATGCATTGTAATTTTCACTTTACGACTGGGAGATATTGTTCAAATTTGCAACTGTAAAGACCCACACAAAAATCAATACTGCACCTATCAATGTCAAGGCCCCAAAAGAGATTTAGAACTTGTTCTTGAAACATTTTTGCAATGAAGCAATAGAGTAGCCACGAAATTGATTAATGAGTTTGTGATTACGAGACAGATTTGGCATTTTGTTTTTTAAACAGAATACAGACGCGAATTAATTAATTGCCTGAATATTAGATAGTTTTGATTAAGTTTTTATGTTTTTTGTGTAAAACATTTACTCCAGGCGAAGTTCATGATGTGCGCCTGAGTGCATAATCCAATTTTTCATTTTTTCCAGGAAAAAATGTTGTAATATGATAATAATTCACATTCGTAACTAACCATAATTTGTCTGCATTTTCTATGCTTGTCCGCTTTTAACGTAAACATACGCTCAAAATTTATACTTTTTGTAACATTAAAATTGTTCAAAAACGTCTTTTAGAAAACCGAAACCAATTAGGTACCTATAATAGTAGTTTTTGAATAATATTTTTTCTTTTTATTCAGAGTGCACCAGAACTCGCGCTGCAGAGAAAAATGCCATATAAGGTAAGATACCAGGAACATGGAAAAAATGTTAAAAAAATATATCTATAAAAATTTCGAAGTTATGAGAGTTTAAATTTTGCACTTTGACTTTATTTATTTCTGTTGAAAAAATAATTTTCTAAGTTTTTTTTTCTACAGGATATTAAAAGAGGAAACAAGGAAGCTATATCCTAAATTGTAACTCTATTCAATGTTATTTGTGGCTTTTATTGGCAAAACTTTTGTATCTTTACTAAGTAATTGGAAAAAAACATATACAGGATCATCATTATCATTAAATTGACATAAAAAATGTCAAATGTGAAAAAATAAATGTCAAAATTTTTTGACAGATAGAATTTTTTAAACATTTTTTTCATGTTCTTGGTATCTAATCTTGCTTGAAATTTTTCTCTGGGGCGCGAGTTTTGGCGCACCTGTATATGTAAAACGCCATTTTGGTCAAATGGTGGTTAAAAGTAAATTTTAAAAAATCAGGTGGTTAAGAATATTTCTTTATTGGTTTTATAACAATTATTTTGTGTTATTTTTAATGTCGTGTGCAATTATTATTATTATTATTATTATTAAATACAGAATTTTTTTTTATTCTGAGTTGCTCGCATGAATTACAGTAGGTATGCTGTTAATTTTTTTAACTTATTTTTAGTCCTTTACTAGTAAATTGTTTAAAAATAAACAGTTTGCAAACACAGGTATCAGGTGAACAAAACGTATGGAACCAACCGGTTGTAGCTTAAACTACATATTTTTATGTTTTGAAAAAGCTATAATAGATAAATGATAACATTCTGACGTTTAAGAATAAAGATTTTTGAAATTTTTGTTTTTCATTTGTAACCCACTATAAATCCTGTTTCTACAAAGGCTATGATTTAAGGATTGCAACTATTTACATTTAATGCAATTTTTATCGAAAAAAATTTATGAAAAAAATTTCATGTTACCATTTTGAAAAAAAAAATGTCTTTCTCAAGAACAAAACAAGACCTTTTTTTACAGCACATTAATCTTTATTACTTAGGAGTAAATATTATTTTCTATAAACAAATTATTAGGAAAAACACTTGGTTTCGTAATTTTTGTTTACCCTGTATGGCTACCGGGTGGCTGTAAATGATTTTTTACCTCAAGTCAAATTTAAACTTTTAGTTTGACTTTCAAATTCAAATGTCAAACTTTTATAGTCAATCAATATAACAAATTAGAAGGATTACCAATAATTCAGGGTTGCCAATAGATTTTTTTGTCACAAACATTAATAGCCATCCGGTATTTAATCATTTTACATTAAAATATTGAATTTCTTTGTACTTTAAAAAGCCATTATATAGTGTTCGAAGTTTCTATTAAAAGCTTGCCTGATCTATGGCTTCTAATACCCCAAGTCTTGAATCTTCAGCTCCGTCACTTTGTAAATTACGACGTCATTTCGTCGCGATTTGTTTTCAACAATCGAAAACTTGAAAAAATAATCATTAAGTTAAATACCCACAAAAAGTCGGAAGTAGGACACATCTAGTATCTCATAGTCTCTCCATTGACCCATTTCTTGTGAAAACAGAAGAAGTGCCATCACTGTCAATAAAAATTATTAATTGTGACGACGCGTAAACACTAGTGTATTGTGGGTTGCATTGTGCTTAAAATTTTATAGGTTTTAAAATGGGAGGACGTAGAAAGACGGTATTTTTCGGAAGACCTAGTTGGGTCGTGAAGCTTGGCTTTAATAACAGAAAAATCTTATCGAGTGAAAGCTTCGAGTGTCGTTCAGTTTTTCGGGGAGTATTAACGGAAATGTGTCGGCAAACATGACATCAGCCAATATTTCAGGAAAAAAATCACGTTATTTGACCAAAAATTATGATTTTATTTGGTTACGAGCTGGAAACAATGGACGAGTGCTTTGTGTAAAAAGTTTGAATTTATTGAAGTCAAGAGTGAGCACTAGTTCCAACTTGCTGGCAAACTTTCTGTTTAGGATACATGTAATTAGGGTTACAATGTCTAAAGACAAACTGCTGCAGTAGACAGAAGTTAAAATTATTAGAGAAACATTTGAGTCGGGTGAGACTGAGATAAAGCTATATTGTGTTATTGAAAAACAAAATTTGATTAATTTGTTGTTGACTTGAGTTATGTTTAATTATTATTAAATATAAATTAGTTTTATGCCGCTAATCAGAGATCATAAATCAGTACATAAAAGAAAATAATAATCTGATAAGAAAATAAAAGCAGCCTCGTATAAATCATAATCGTTTTAATAAAATAAATAAAATTCGATAGTGCAACGCTGACAGTGACAAATTTATTATTTCTCGTAACCGAGATTTTAATTTAATGGCTTGGAGAAGGTTAATATTTTATCGGATATTAATAATATTAACAGCGATAAAGTTAAGCATATTGAGTTGTAGAAAATTAACTAACTTATCTTCGATTGGAGTTTAATTAGAAAATTATTTTTGATTTTTTTATTAATTTATTACTGACTTACCTATCTAAGGAGACCGCGATGAGGCTGTACACCGACGCGGCGACCGAAACACCCTGTATATACGGCACAGTCTTGCACATCCACCACCCTAAAACCCATGCTGAAAAAAAAAAACAAAACGTTAATAAAAACCAAAAAGCCTCAAACGTTGTGCGATAAGCAAATTTCATTTGACTCATTTGGGTTTTATGAAATTGTGCTTTGGCAGATTTTCCTAGAAACGGCGAATTTATTGCCACTCAATTTCATCCTGATTTTAAGCGTAAAATAATCGCCGTTTTCATAAAATATCGACATAATATATTCGGTTTATGGCCGACGTTGCGGAAGGTCATAGTTGTGTCATATGCAAGGCATAGTTTTGATGGATCGTTGAGGAAATTTGCATTGGACGGGTCATCGGAAGTAGGTTACTTGGGGTAAAATTGTTGCAGGAATGAAAAATAGGGGGTGTGTTTTTCAAAATGTCCCAATTTTCTTAAAATAGGAAAATTCTTAATTTTTTATGTGGTATTAGTGGAGCATGTTTTAACTTTTGCGGCTATTACCTATTGTGATATACTCGTACATGCCTTGTATCACAAATTTTTAGCAAAATAAAATAAACCAGTTAATAGATGATTAAAATTAATACTTAAGATTAAACGATTAGGCAGTGTTATTCATTAAAAGTAAATTTTTTTAACTAAGAATGCTAGATTAAGCTAAGTATTAATTAATTAATTTTTGATTTTAAAATACGTATATAAAAGCTTTAATTTTTTGGCGTTTTTGGTTTATTTCAGTACTCTTATATTTTACTAAAAATATGATCGTATTATACTTAACATTTGTCTTTCTTGCTTGCGTAATTGGTAAGTAAGCGTTCACTGGTAGATAAATTAATTTTATCGATTAACCACAATAAGTAGTTAGTTTATCTTAAAAAAAGAAAATATCAAAGTTCTAAAAATGTCGGTAAAGGAACAAGTAGTGTTTTTTTCTTTAAGTCTACTGTTTCGTTAATGTTAATAAATACTATTATTTGTGTTTAGGGGAATCACCAGATTTACACACTTCTTTTATTAGCAAATCATTTGGTATTTACAATGATCCCAAACAGCAGACCAACTGCCATATAATTTGTTGTGAGTCATACAAACGTACACAAAAAACACAAGTAGAAGACAAAGTTGGCAATGCTACTGACACAAAAGGATTTCTGGATAACGATATAAATTTAGGTAAATAACAAAATTTTCTTACTCTATTGGTACCTATCTATAAAATTTTATCTCAAAAATTTTCTTCAAGATTCTATGAGAGATGTCGTGTCAACAATATGTAAACGACGTCGGATTGGTTATCATAATCATGATATGTTTTCTCCGGCTCCCATTGATATGTCTTTGAAACATAAAATGGATATCCAAGATACTGGAAAACCATGTAATAAAGGCAAAGGAACGTATATTAAAATTGGATGGAAAAATGTACCATGGGCAATGATTTTATCATGTTTTTATAAAGCAGAATTAAAAGGGGTAACAACCACGAGAACTTTTTGGTCGCGACATCACATAAGAATTTATCCTAACCGTGAAACATCATCTTACCGTTATTTTAAAGTAAAATTTTTCGAAAACTTAGGAGTCATATCTGCATACAAAAACTCTGGATATGATCGCGGTCATTTAGCACCGAAAGCTGATTTTGGTATAAAAGTCGAAAAAGATATGACTCACTTTTATGTAAACGCAGCTCCTCAATGGTCTGATCTAAATCAAGGAGAATGGAGAGTAATAGAATCAGAAGTAAGAAAGCATGCACAACATGATTGGATCATCTACACAGGAACATTAGGTAAACTAGGAGTATTGAAAAGTAGACCAAAGAAACAACTAGAAGTAATTATACCAAAATATTTTTTTAAAATTGTTATACAACCTAATTCTATATTACCCTCATCCTTGGTTTTTATTGGTAAAAATGATATTTTCAAAAAAGGTAAAATAGATCATGAACTATACATCCGTTGCATTAAAAGCTGTGACATAAATACATATTTTAAAAATAAAAAGTTTCTCTTCTCTTTTTGCTGCAAGACTTCCATATTTTTACCAATTGCAACCAGGTTTGGTGTACATATAGAAGAATCAGATAATAAAGCGTATACTTTAATGAAATGGTAATTAAAAATTCTGTAAATATTGATGAAATAAAATCTTAATAATATAATAAGTTTATTTCACTCTGTTTATTTCACTCTGTCTGTGATCATGAAATTAGGAGAAATCGCTCAATACTTTCTTAAGAGAATCACAAAACACTCATGCAGCAAAGCGGCTACATAAAGGAAATGTTATTTTACTTGTAATTTAGAACAAATAGTGAAATGCATTTTTAAGAAACTGAGACGAATTAGGAAACGTTATTAACATACATAGAAATAATTTTAGGTTTTCTTAAGATTTTGTTTGAATGAGGTTTGACAAAAATGAGAAGCGGTAAATTTAACTATATTTTAAGCAATCATTCAAAGACTTCTAAAAAGTATTCTTATGACAAAACAAAATCGTTTGTCCACGCTTTACAAGAATTTTTAGGTACATTTTTACGATAAGTGAAACAATTTTTTCACATTTTTTAATAAACGTTTCATTAGACACACTTCCTACAGTTCGATTGCTAAACTTCAAATTGCATTTAGATTTTTCGCCAATTTGCAGTGAGGCGATTTTAGAATTTATCTCCAGAGCTGCAGAAGTCTTAGAGTGAATTTCAAATCTTAATAATAAACTTACTACATTAAAAAAAACTAAAAAATTCTATGAACAATATTAAGACTTTAAGTGCAAAACTGAAGAGAATATTTTTGGTGTAGTTTTTATTGTTTGGAAATAAATGGAATATACTACTTTCAGAATGAAATAATTAATTAAATGAGGGCATAAGAAAAAAATAATAATAAAGGTTTTTACAATTTCATTTTCTACAAACAAACATAGCTGTTTTGTTTTTTCTGCATTTATGATTTTGTTTTGAGGTAATAATAATAATTAATTTTAAGTAAGGAACAAAATATCTTAATACTGAAAAAAAAAACAAAGTTAATTAAATGTTTTTATTGTACCATTAATTATGACACAAATAATCTGTTAATACCCTAAAATAATCACTTTCTATTTATTGATTAAAACACGGTACAGTATAAGCTTATCTGAAATATATAATCAAGTGCAATTGTTGTATTTAATAATTACTTTTGAAAAATGTTAGTAACATTGTTAAAAGTTTTTTGTTTGTTTGAAGTTATTTGTAAGTATACTGAAAACTTTTTTGCATTGATTTTTATTTGCATTTTGTCTTATTTAGTGGCTCATAGACATAGAGAACATATTCAACAAAGTGACACTAACACTATTTATTCATCTCATTATTACAACAACGGCGACAAACTACCCACACTAGGTATTCCCATGCCTGGTTTTCCATACGGGTATAGTTTTTCACAAATATATGACCATCAAACAATATCTCTTCGTGGCTTATCTTGCAACAATGGCAAAGGAAAAGTAGTCAGAATTGGATCTGCCAGTCAGAGAAATGCCAACTTAGAGATATGTTTTAATGATAAGGAGTTCATCACCTACTGGACCATTCACTTTATGAAAAAATTTCCTAAAACAAAAGCAGAATTTACATTTAACAAGAACCACTTTGGTGGTGTTAACCTAGATGACCTATATCAGAACTCTAGTTGGAGCAAAGGTCAGTTCACGCCCACCGAAGATTTTGACACAGCCATTGAAAAGAAAATGACTTACTATTATATAAACACGGTTCCTCAAGCACCCGACTTTTATCAACAAAAGTGGTCAATTCTGGAAAATGTTTTACGAGAAAAAGTCAATCTTTTAAGTACGAAAATATTAACTGGTAGTTTAGAAACCTCAGACGAATTCATGGGTGAAATTCCAGTTCCAAAGTATATTTTTAAAGTTGTTGTCAATGATAACATTATAGGGGAAACACCAAAAGCAGTTGCTTTTATAGGTCTCAATAGAAAAATACCAGAAGGAAATAAAGACGATGAAAAAAAAGATGGTGATGCAGATGAGAAAGAAGGTGGTGATCAAAACGATGAAGATGATAGTAATAATGATGATGAAAATGGAAAAGGTTGTAATGACGGAAATAATGAAGCAGGCTGTGCCGATCACAGCGATGAAAAAGAAGAAGGTGAAAAGTGTACCGATAAAGATAATGACAAAGAAGGTAATGAGGACGAGGATGATAATAAAGAAGTTGATCAGGATGGTGAAATAGATAGTGACGAAAATGAAAACAACACTAGTAGCGAAGAGAGTGGGGATAACGATAAAAATGATCAAGAACAAGAAGATGGAGATTCTGATAACACTAAAAATGACGAAGATGATGACTATGAAGAAGGAGAGAAGGACGAAAGTGATAAAGATAACAATGATCAGAATGAAGAAGAGAGAGATGAGAATGAAAATGATATTGATGACGACTTAAACAAAGATGATGGCTTAGAAGAGGAAGAAAAGGACGAAAACGCTGAAGAAAATGAAGAAGAACAAGAAAATGATGAAAAAGAAGAAGAGAGAGATGAGAATGAAAATGATACTGATGACGACTTAAACAACGATGATGGCTTAGAAGTGGTAGAAAAGAACGAAAACGCTGAAGAAAATGAAGAAAAACAAGAAAATGAAAAAGAAGAAGAGAGAGATGAGAATGAAAATGATACTGATGACGACTTAAACAACGATGATGGCTTAGAAGAGGTAGAAAAGGACGAAAACGATGAAGAAAATGAAGAAGAACAAGAAAATGATCAAAAAGAAGAAGAGAGAGATGAGGATGAAAATGATACTGATGACGACTTAAACAAAGATGATGGCTTAGAAGAAAAAGAAAAGGACGAAAACGATGAAGAGAATAAAGAAGAACAAAAAAATGATCAAAAACAAGAAGAGAGAGATGAGGATAAAAACGATACTAATGACGACTTAAACAAAGATGATGGCTTTGAAGAAGAAAAGAAGGACGAAGACGATGAAGAAAACGATGATAAGAATGAAGAAGAACAAGAAAATGATCAAAAAGGAGAAGAGATAGATGAAAACAATAATGATCAAAACGATAAAGAAGACGGTAAACAAAATGTAAAGGAAGAAAAAATAGAACAAAAAAATTATGATAATCAAGACAACACAGAACAACCAGGCCTGGAAGATGAAGAAACTAGCAACCAAGAGCAAGACGGTGAAGACGATTTAGATAAAAAAAATAATTACAAAAGAAGCAAAAATAATCAAAAGAGTCAAAATGTAAAAAAGAGTCACAAGGAAAATGAGAATAAAAAATTAAAAACTGAGGAGAAGAGCATTAAGCAAGAGAAGAAACAAAATAAAGAACACGTAAAACCTAATGGAAAAATTATTCCGAAGAAATCAACATTTTCTATAAAATACGAAGAAATTGAAGAAGAAGATGGAGATGAAGAAAACAACAATAAAGGTGAAGATAAAGAATTGGCGACATTTTTACGTCTGTGCAAGAGTCAATGTCAACATTTAAATTTATTTAATGAAGAACAATTAGCAAGTATAGAAAATTCTATTATTTGCTGCAAATTTGATGAATTTTTAGAAATCGCAACCACGAACCAAATTTATTTGCCTATAATTAATAAAAATTACGATTTGTTGACTTTTTCTTTTGAATAAACTGTAATAAAACACTGCTCTACTTATTTTATTGAATTAGTACCTTCTCTTTGAAAATTGGAATACAATTTGCCGTATCTACTTGATAAAAAAGTAAAAAGGTACGAAGTCGGCAAAGGAGCAAATTTGCTCCACTGAATAATAACCTTCATATCGCATTTTAATATCTCGAAAGCGTACACACGTAGAATCCGAGTGAACACAAAGAGGCTTAAAACTTTTATATCCTGCATCCAGAGAATGCATCCAAGATCAATTCAACCGATAGTGAATCAGTGTGGACATAAAATTCTTTATGCTTTTATGAAATCGTTCCACCAGAGCTGCAATAATTGTACGAGTTCACGAATAAAATTTTCATTTAAACAATCAAAAATTTGAATCGATAGCGACGCCGGGACGCTTCTTGAAAAATTTAAAAGGCTGCAAAGCGATCGAAGGCCTCGAAGTGGCAGCTGGAAGGCGGTGTAGGTTTTTTGTCATTCTATCTTTTTAATTACTGGCTAGCGAAACGACTTCAAATATTTACCAGCCGGTCGGTGCAAACTTCATTCCAGATCCAGGTCATCGAAATGAGATTCCATCATTTTTATTGGGAACATAGAGCCTAATCTGGCCTAGATTCCGATTTTCAGCAAACAAGAATATGCCGCTGATGACCGCTGAGTAAACGAAGTGTTGACACTGGAAAGCTGCGTTTAACTTTACTACTGTCATATCTTCTTGGCGAGAGTACAAGAATCACGTTCAAATTTCAATTTTACTTTCATTGAATTTTAAAGACGAGAAAGCGGAAGTAGAGGCACAAATAAATCATCTACTGACCTATAAATGGAAATTAAATCCCAGTAACTTTTCAGAATTTTAAAAAATAATTTTATGGTTGAGATATTGTACTAAAATTCACAAAATGAGGAGTGTCAGTATCAAAGAGAAATTATTATTGTAATTAATTTTGGTTTTGATCTAATTTTAATGCAAATGAGAAACATTATGATATGGTTTTTAATTAGCAAATTATTAAACTAAATACATACAGGGTGAATATAAAGTATGGAACCAAACGGTTTTATTTTTGATCAATTGCCTCCAGAAAATAATAATTAATATAAATTAGAGTAATATAAAAAATGTGACCGTATTTTCAGAACGAAATTTAGTTTTGTTTTTGAGTTATGCGATTTTTTTTTGTCAAAATTGCAATTTATGTGAAAATTTTTTTTGAAAAAATTAAATATAAAGCAGATAGTTATAAT